CCATTTCGATTTCTTCTTTTACTCATTGGTTTTTCAGGAGCATGTTGTTTCATTTCCACATATTTTTCAATTTTCCAGCATTCCTCCAGCCATTAATTTCTAGTTTCGTATTATTGTGGCCTGAAATGATATGAGAGACAATTTTAATCTTCTTAAATTTGTTAAGACTTGTTTTGTGGCCTAACATACGGCTTATATTGGAAAACGTTCCATGTGCACTGGAGAAAATATGTGTTCTGCAGTTGTTGGATGGAAAGTCCTCTGTAGGTTTGGTAGGTCTATTTGGTCAAAACTGCAATTTAAATCCAGTATTTATCAATTTCCTGGTGTTTGAGCTATGAATTGTTGAAATTGGGATATTGAAATTATCTACTGCTGGGCACGGTGGCTTGTGCCTGTGATCATAGCACTTTGGGAGGCCAAGGTGGGAGGATGACTTGAACTTAGGAGATTGAGACCAGCCTTGGTAGCATAGTGAGACCCTGACTCTACAAAAAAAAAAGTGCATGCTTGTAGTCCCAGCTACTTGGGAAGCTGAGAGGATCACTTAAACCCAGGAAGTCGAGGTTGCAGTGAGCCATGATTGTGCCACTGCACTCTAGTCTGGGCAACAGAGTGAGAACCTGTCAAAGGAAGGAAAGAAAGAAAGTAAGCAAGTAAGCGAGAGAGAGAGAGAGAGAGAGAGAGAAATGAAAGAAAGGAAGGAAAGGAAGGAAAAAGAAAAGAAGGAAAAAAGGAAGAAACAAAGGAAGAAAGAAGGGAAAAAAGGAAGAAAGGAAGAGAGAAAAGAAAGGAAAAAAGGAAGAAAAGAAAGAGAAGGGAACAAAGAAAGGAAGAAAAAAGGAAAGAAGAAAGGAAGGAAGGGAAAAGGAAAGAAGAAAGGAAGGAAGAAAGAGAAATTTTCTTCTATTGTCATATTATCTATTTCACTCTTCATGTTTATTAATTTTGCTTTATGTATTTATATGTTCTGATGTTAGGTCCATATATATTTACAATTAATATGTACTCTTAATGACTTGACCCCTTTGTCATTAAATAATGATCTTTGTCTTCTCTTGCAACAGTTTTTTTTTTTTTTTTGAGACGGAGTCTTGCTCTGCCGCCCAGGCTGGAGTGCAGTGGCGCGATCTCAGCTCACTGCAAACTCCGCCTCCTGGGTTCACGCCATTTCTCCTGCCTCAGCCTCCTGAGTAGCTGGGACTACCTGCCACCTCGCCCAGCTATTTTTTTTTTTTTTTTTTTTTTTTGTATTTTTAGTAGAGACGGAGTTTCACCGTGTTAGCCAGGATGGTCTCGATCTCCTGACCTCATGATCTGCCCGTCTCGGCCTCCCAAAGTGCTGGGATTACAGGCTTGAGCCACCGCACCTGGTCTCTTGCAACAGTTTTTGACTTGAAGTCTAGTTTATCAGATAAAAGTGTAGCCACCCCTACTCTCTTTAGGTTTTCATTTGCATGGAATATCTTTTCATCCTTTCATTTTCAGCCTTTGTGTGTCCTTAAAGCCTAATTAGGTTTCTTCTAGGCAGCATATAGCTGGATCTTGGGTGTGGTTTTTTTTTTAATCCATTAAGCTATGCTATGTCTTTTGATTGAATAATTTAATTCATTTATATTTATGGTTATTATTGACAGGTCAGGAGTTATCACTGTCACTTTGTTCTTGTTTTCTTGCTGTTTAGTAGTTCCTTTGTTCTTTTCTTTCTCTCTTGTTGTCTTCCTCTTTGACTTGACAGTTTTCTAGAGTGCTAAGCTTTGATTCCTTTCTTTTTATCATTTGTGTATCTGCTGTAGTTCTTTTGTCTTGTGGCTACCATGAGGCTTACATAGAACATTACAGTTATAATCTATTCCAAGCTGTTAACAACTTAACTTCTGTTGCATATAAAAACTCTAGACTTTGACCCTCCCATTCCATAATTTGCTTTCATGTTGCAATTTACATCTTTCTATATTGTATATTTCTAAGCAACTTGCTGCAGTTTTAGCTATTTTTGACCATGTTTACTTTTAACCTATATACTGGAAATAGATATGATTTACACACCACCTTTATGAAACTGGTGTATTCTGGATTTGATGCATTTCCCCCTACCAGTGAGTTTTATACTTTCATGTTTGTTCGTGATGGCATTATTGTCCTTTAATTTCTGCGTGAAGAAGTCCTTTAAGCATTTCTTGTAAGGCAAGTCTCATAATAATAAATTCTCTCAGCTTTTGCTTGTCTGGGAAGACTATTTCTATTCATTTCTGAAGGGCAGATTTTCTGTGCATAATATTCTTGGCTACCAGGTTTTTTTTTTCTTTCTTTCTTTCAGCACTTTAAATATATCATCCCATTCTCTCCTGGCCTGCAAGGTTTTTGCTTGGAAATCTTCTGGTAGTTTAATGGGCATTCCTTTATATGTAACTTGGTGCTTTTCCCTTGCTGCTTTTAAAGTTCTCTTTTTGTCTTTGAATTTTGGCAGTTCTGGTTTCAAGATTCCAGTTCCCTTAGGGACAAGGCATTACTTCAGCTTGACTCTAAATGGTGGGTGCACTAATGACTGGTAGAGGTCATGAAGTGGCTCTGTAGTAGCTTGTCCTTAGTAGATAAGATGTAATAGCACCTCTGCTTGGGTATGGCATGATATGAGGCAGGCATAGTGCAGTGGCAGCTTAGCCTCAGGAATGGAGAGATACGATACCTATTTGGCTCCAGAGTATGATGCACTTTGGCAGTGACTCAAGTTATAAGATGTTGCAGAGCAGTAGCAGCTTGAGCCATGAGGTGCAATGCACAATGTCATCTTCTTCTTTGGGAGTATCTCAGTTGTGTGGGCTCTGTGAGCTTCCTTAACTGGGTTCAGAGCCTTTGAGGGCTGCAGGAATCTCCAATAGCAAAGATCCCAGTTGCCCATGGTGGTAACGGGATCTTCTGGGGTCCTCTTGCTTACCTTTCCCTGCAGGGAGAAGACATTCCTGGTTCTAAACTGGTCAAAACTTGGGGAGTGAAGTGGCAGAGGTGAATTGCCTCCTTCCTTTTTCTGTGTGCCCATCCTGGGTTTCTATGTTCTATAGGATTTCTACTGCTTCTCTGCTGTTCTCTGGTGCTCTCCTTTAGTTACTTTAGTAGTTATTTGTTGTTTTAGGGTTTTTTTGAGGGGCAAAGGAGTGCTAGGAGCTTCTAATTTGCCGTCTTGCTGATGTCACTCCCAATTTTTAAATTACACATTATATATAAGATAAAATTTAACTCTCTCTCTCTCTATATATATAATATATACATGAAGCTCTTCTCTATAAAAGCTTAGACTCAACTTTCCATGTCATTACTGTACAACCACTAGTGGTATCACACTTCATCGTATCATTAAATCCTGTTTAATTTCTCACTGTCTAAATGCTTTTTGTCTCATTCCAGATGATACTTCTATTTTCACAGCACTTTAGTATTTAAAGGGCCTATATATCATGAGAGGACATGACCCAGGCATGCTGAAATCTTATTTCTAGTGTCTACAACAGGTTACGCCTACCTCATTTAACTTTGGACTTAGGCACTTTCAATCTGAGGCTCTGGGGCACTTGATTTGCATTCACTATATACAGTTTCCAGCTTTCTGGAAGTCCAGCATTGCAAAATCTTGAGGGAAGGAAATTTAGCAATGTGCTATCTGTGTGTGTGTGTGTGTGTGTGTGTGTGTGAATTATACCTATAGTGATTGGCTTGCTCCAGCTTTCTCTTTTTTACTTGGGATTGTGTTTCCTGTTTATATGAACTGGGGTGATCCAGAGGCCTCCACAGGCAATAAATCCTGCAAGGGCAGAAAAGATAGGAAAACATTCTTTCCCCTAACACAATTCACAAGATGGCTTTGGAGCCTACAGTACAGTTTTTATGGTTTTAAAAATGTTCTAATGTGGATGTGCCCAAGGAAGAATTAAGAGCAGCAGAGCATTTCTTTATTCCAATTCTCATTCAGAAAAAGCTCTAGGAAGCAGATAAGAGATTATGGACAGGAATAGAATCATATTTGATGTGAAGACTGAAGTTTAATTATGAATAGAATCAGGGAGAAAGTTATTTCTGAAATCTCTCTTTCCTCCCTGTAGTTGAATTTTCCAAGATAAAGTAGAAGAAAATGTGTATGCTTTATCTACAAATGAGCTGCATCTGGAGAAATGATTGTCTCTCCTTTATGGATTATTTGTTTAATTTACTAGAGTGCACCAAATAACAGACATTTGGCTTGTTTTCTTCTCAATACTCTTGCTTTATAGATGAAGAAACTGAAGCCCCAAAAGACAGTAGATTCTCTTTTCTTAATATATGGTCTTCTCTCTTTTCCCATTCATCTCTGAATCTTTTTAACATACATTCACATTTCTTACCTACCCCACCCCCTCCACAATTTCATGTTATTGATCTTGGTTTTGTTCAGGGCTCACTGGCAACAGCAGGTTGAATATAAAGGTGAGATTCCTGAAGTATCAACAAATAGTGATCGAGCAGTTAAAACTCAAATCATATTTACTGCAATTACAAGAGATTGAACAGAGCAGACATGTGTTCCTCAAGCTCTCCTGAGTCTAGAAGGAGAAATTTATAAGGAAGCACATCTCAAATCCCTGAGACAACCCATGATGCTCAATGAAAGAAATCAAAGATCCAATATCTGGAGAAAAAAAAAAATTCTGGCTGGGCACAGTGGCTCAGGCCTGTAATCCAAGGACTTTTGGAGGCTGAGGTGGGCGGATCATAAGGTCAGGAGATTGAGACCTTCCTGGCCAACATGGTGAAACCCCATCTCTACTAAAATATAAAATAATAGCTGGGCATGGTGGCAGGTGCCTGTATTCCCAGCTACTTGGGAGGTTGAGGCAGTAGAATGGCGTTAACCTGGGAGGCGGAGCTTGCAGCGAGCCGAGATTGTGCCACTGCACTCCAGCCTGGGCGACGGGACGGAGACTCCGTCTCAAAAAAAAAAAAAAAAAGAAAAAAAAATCCAAGAACTTCCAACAATGGTTTGTTTTTAGCAAGTAAAACTGTTAGAGGAGATGTGAAGTTGTAGAGAAGAAAAAGCAAGTGTGTACAGAGAAGAGTTAAAAAAGAGACAACTCCCTCAAGTGACCAAATGGCCCAGGGCTGGGCAATAAATCTCTTGACAGTTTCTCAAAGTCTAAGAAATCTGTGTTTATAAGTTAGCTAAAACACCTGCTCAAGTTTCACTTTTGGGTGACTTATGTTCTGTAGAATTTAGCTTGAGTTTTAAAAGGTGATGAGTGATTACTGAAGCTGACCCTGATCCCTATTGAGTTTTTCAAATTAAATGGATTGCATTTTGCACAGATAACTTGTGTTGTAGTTAAAGTATCAGGCATCAGCTTCTCTGAAAAGGGATAAACAATGGAATGAACTCTCAACATTTCCATTAACTTCTTTATTTTGAACTGGTTATAGACTCACAAGAAGTTGCAAAAATAGTGTGGAGAGATCTGGTGTACTCTTCAAACAGCTACCTTCCTCTCACTTCCCATGGTAATATTTTATATAACTAGAGTTCATTACTAAAACTAGGAAATTGACATTGATATAATACAAGTAACTAGTCTACAGATCTTACTCAAATTTCATCAGTTTTTACAGGTACTCATTTTTTATGTGTGTAGTCATAAGAAAATTTATCCCATTTACAGATTAATGTGCCACTACAGCTCAGATACAGAACTGTTGCCTCACCTTAAAGGAAGAAACGAACCTTTCACACTATTCATCTGTAGTCACCTTACCTTAACTTTTTGTATGAATGAATGCACCATGTAGTCCATTGTCCTTATTTGTTGTTCACGAGACAGGAAACAGTCTTCTTATCCATAAATATATGGATAAAACTTTATATATATATATATATCTTGGATAAACTAGAGAGTGTTTTAAAGGTTCATCTTTTTGTGGGAGAGAAAGAAAATACATATTTGGAAATTCTTTATTTAAAGGTTAAAAAAGGTTAAAAATCAGATGGTGTTAAAGCAGACATTTCATATGCATATGCTTGATAAGCAGACAAGTCATGTGCAAGTGTGAAAATGCAGAATACAAATAATGGAAACTTATGACATAGTAATGGAACTTGAACTCAAGTAATGCTCAGTTGGCCAAAGAAAGCTCATAAGACAGCCTAGTTCAACCTGCAAACCACGAATTTACAGTTACTGTCTTTAAGAAAGAGATGAATAAACTTCAAAACTTTGAAAAAATCAGAATTTGTCTCAGGAAAATAGTGACATTCCATAAGGAAAACTTCCTACAAATAAGTTAAATCTTCCTCTTGCCTTCCATTGCTGAGCTGGGTTCATGTGATGTAATCATAGAATGAAGAGGAATAAACCAAGCCAAAAGAGGCCAGAAGGGGGACAGGCTCAGGACAAAAGGAAAGAGAAAAGATATATTTAAAACACCAGTCAGACCCTTTCTGGATGTCATACTTCCTCAGTTTCAGCACCAGAGTTACTGTAGATGTTTATTTTGTGGTTTTCATTCTTCTCTCTGCAAAAACATTCTTCCTGACAAAGTTGGCCATGATATTCCAGCAGGACTGCCCACCACTTTGAGAGGGTTGCTCATGATGGGCAAATCTTCAGCTGTGAGTGATGACTCTTTTACTCAGCCTGGGTCTTGGTGGGAATGGGGAGTTCCAAGGCAGGTAGTCAGGCAAATAGCAGCCATGATAAAGGTCTATGTCCAAGCCAGGACCAGAAAAGCAAACTCAGTTATCTATATGCAAGCTCATTGTTTTGTTCCTCATCTGTTTTAATGCATGGGAGAGATCTTATTAGATGAAAAGGTACAAAACACTGGGCCCAATTTGAGTTTTTAGTTTATTTTTTGAGTAGTTCTATTTATTTGTAAAGGTTGGTATATCATGATTTTTATTTTTGTCTTTGATGTTTTCCAAGGAACAAAGAAAAACATTTACTTGCTCTTTTAAAAGATATAATAAAACTGATTTTATATTACAATTATTATATGGCTCCATCTGATGTCAATCAGTATTTTCTCAATCTAACACAGGTTATTGAATTTCAGTGATCTTACCTTCCTGTATATTATCAATTATTCCTAACTACAATGAAAAAGAATGATGAAATAGCCCAGAGGAATAATGAAATAGTCAAATCATTACTATTATACCATCCTTCGGTTTTTTTCATTGTTTTGCTTAAAGTTTTATATCATCTTTTAAGAAGATATAAAAGAAGTCTGGAACCATCATCTTTATAGTTTATTTCTTAGCTTTTATTAAGTACGTTGAGAATCCAGGAATTTTTTTAATGTTTCTCCATAATGACAAAAAGAAGGAGTTGACAGAGAAACAGTTTACAAATTGGCTAGACGAAGATAAATGCAGGGAGACAAGAGTGGTCTTTGACATTCTAATAATGGTGTGAAATTGATTGTATAATAAAAATTTTAATGAGGCTTCAGATAACAGTATCTTAGGTAAATTTTCCCAAATTCAGTAATAGATGAATGAATTACACATTTCTAAGGGCAAAATGAAAATGTAATATTTTCATGGTCATGCAACAGAACAGACTTTATTATGCAAATATTTTGTGACCAGAATCTAGACTATTCTATTGTGCCAAAAGGCATATTACACATTCTTTCATCGTTCATAAAGCTTGTGCACTGAAATTTACTTGATATCATTAATAAATGGATAAACAGTTGTATATACAAAGTTGAGTAGTAAAAAATAGATGCTGTAGTAATGAAAAAATTGATTGCATTCATCATTCTAATTGGTATTTATAAATCTAAAAATTAAAATGTGTTATAATTAAGGATCAAATAAGATGACCATTTTCTTTTCAATAAAATTATGTACCATTGAAGTTTATCAAGGATCACATTTTGATGATACAACTGCATGAAGCAGAATTAGAAGTAATGACAAGACAGAGCCTAGCAGAGATATATTTGAAATCTGAGATCAGAATTTATAAGCTGGATATGTCTCTCTAGTTGAATTCAAAGTACATTGACTTTTCTATCTATCCCTCCCTCCCTTCTTTCCTTCCTTCCTTCCTTCCTTCCTTCCTTCCTTCCTTCCCTCCCTCCCTCCTTCCTTCCTTCTTTTTCTTTCTGTGTCTACCTATTTATCTGCCTCTCTTTAAAATCAGGAACATATGGAATAAATATTTGGGTGTGCTATATTTAATTCTTATTAAAATGTCTAATAAGGTTTTTTCCCACTCTACCTTTATGCTTACTTTTGTAATTATTCATGAGATGACAAACATATACAAAATAAAAAGGGACTATTGTGCCCAGATGGTAGTTATATCTACTTTCCTGGTATGTTATGGGTTAAATGGGGTAGAAAAAACAATACTTACTCAGTGAACATTAAGAGCTCCTGGACGTTATTGTCTACTTTTCTTATTTAAACATGTATTTGATATAAATTTTGTGAAACAACATGACATACATTATGAGGAATATTAGCCTGAAGCTGATACAATATGAGTCTAGCCCTCATTTTGCCACACTGCTATGTGATCTTAAGTAAATGATTTTGTTTTTCTGCACCTTAATTTTCTAATTTTGTAAAATGAGTGGGTAAGAAAGTTTTTCTGTCTCATGCACGATGAAAGATGTAGTCATGTTGAAATGAATAAAATCTGCTGTTTTCTTCTGTAGGCCATCAACACATATGTGGGCCAATTCTATTTCTTAAATTGTTTTGTTGGAGGCTGAAGCAGATATTATCCCATCATCTTTCTCATAAACCGATCTTTCATTTAACTATTCAGTCCTTCAGCCACCAAATACTTAAGTACCTGTTCCATGTCAGCTGCTGAGGAAAAAAATCAGACCTTGTCCTTAAAAGTCAGATGTGTCAGAAGTAAACTCAGCAAAGTATGTAAGTGTTTTGTTATGAATCTAAGATACAGAAGAAATTCAAAGAAGGAAGTCATGTAGTCTCTGGGTGCATTGATGGTGAGAGTAGTTACGCTAAGAAAAGGGGTAAGGGAAAAGGTGATCCTTGAGCTCATATTCATACCAGCTAGTATAGTAATTCTTTTATTTTTACTATTTGTTCCACAACAGAAGAATCTGTTACTGAGAAAAGGGGCTCACTGCTCAATGTGCTAGAAGCCAATACTATCACACGGGAGTTTTGAGTAAACAAATTATTTTTATTGCAGATTGACCAATAAGGTGATAGGAGTGTATCTCAAACCTGTCTCCCTGTGCTGGCTCTAAGGCCGTATTCTTATTAGAAACAGTTTGGGAGATGGATTCTGAGATTAGCAGGTGACTAATGCAAGGAAAGGGGATATCTGGAAAGTCCTCAGGCATGCAGAGTTATCTCTTCTTTTCTCTTCATGGGTCACATGTGCAATTTCAATGGGAGTTAGTATGAAACATGCTGTGGAAATGTGGTCCCTGACACCAGCAGGTTCATTCTGTGCAGACTCCAATCGGCCATATTACTTTTAACAGATTTAGCCAGCATTTTAATCTCATTAGCAGAGAGTTTCAGCATTTCAGCAAGTTATATCTTTTCTTATCTGTCATCCTGTGAGGTCAAGAGTTTCTATCAGTCACTGGTTTCTTTAACTCTTTGGGGTATGGTTTCAAATCCACAATGGCCAGGTAGCAGTCTCAACTTCCATCTTAATGGAATCATTGTCAATTCACCTGAAATAATCATCCTTCCTTGGGAACTAGAACCCCTAAGCCAACAGAACTCCACACTGTAGGAATGAAAAGTATTAGATTTAGTAGTGAAAGGAGACACTCCTACTTCCATTCCTTGATTCTCAAACTGTATTTCCTAATTTTAGGGGAACTAAGTTTCAGGAAGCCATTACATTGTTCTATGCCAAAGTGAACACCATTGCACTTCTTTTGCTGTGAAATGTTACTTGGTTAAAAGCATTTTTTTCGTGTGTGAAATATCACAAAAGTGCACACAGCATCCCAACCTCACAGTTGGTTGTGATGACAGAAGCACTGTAGGTTGGCAATGAATATCCATATTCAGAACATATATCCATATTCAGAATACAAACACCCTTTTGGAAGGGGTACGATGAAATCAATCCTTCATGATGTGGCTGGCTGGTCTTCCTAGGGAATAGTGTTACATCAGGGCTTTGCTTTTAGCCTCTGCTATTGGATGATGATGCATTTAGAAGTAGCAGTCACCAGATCAGACTTGGTGGGGAAAAGTCCATTTGGTGGTTTTAAAATTTGTTCACAAATTCTTTCACATACTTCCCTTCAAAAGGTGGGCCGAATTCCCTCCTTCAATGTGTGATGAACGAAATGATTTGAATCTAATGAATAGAGTGGCAGGAATGATGCATTTGGCTTTGAAGCCTAGATCATAGAAGGATGGATTCTGCTGGTTCTCTGGGGATGTAGGGGTGTGCGGAGAAGAAGCCAAGTTTTGAGGACAGTCAAGCAATCTTTGGAGAGGCCCACATGAGAAGGAACTGAAACCTCCTACCAAAAACCAGCACTAATTTGCCAGTCATGTGAGTAAGCCACAGTGAAAGAGAGACTGTAGTGTCGGTCAAATCTTTAGATGACTGCAGTCACACCTGACAATTTAAATGTGACTTCGTGAGAGATCCTGTACCAGAACCACCCAGTTAAACCATTCCCAAATTCCAACAGGAAGAGGTACCCTTGGAATAAATTCTATATTTTCTAATCCAAATTCCCTCTTTATATATCATCCCAGATATTAACGACAACAAAACATAGGCCCTTATTCTTTCTTGCTGCCTTATTTTACACTCATAGTAAGGTTGAATGAACTGTGTTTTTTGCTCTCTTTCTCATATCACATACTGTGTTTTTTGCTCACTTTCTCATCCGCAAACATATCAGATAAATATTTACATTAAATAAACACTTTTTTTGTACATAATCTTTCGCAGATAATATAGGGACCATATTAGAGATTCCCTGCCCTACTTTTCTCAACTCTACTAGGAATCTTAATGAGGGAGAAGACATAGAAGTAAAATACATTAATACAATTTTAAATATCAGAGTATGGATTACTATATCAAAAGTTGGATTATGAAATAATATATTTAAAATTTTAACAATTCAGATTTAAAAATTAACTCCTTTTATTGCATATGTTAATTGGAAAAATATATAAGTACAAAAAAATTAGGAATCCTAAATAAATTAGAAAACATTCATAATTCCATTACCCACAGTAAACAGTATTAATATGTTATGTCCTATGCCTCTCTCTATATATTTTATTTTTAAACATGGATCATGTAGCAATTACTCTTTTATAATCTGTTTTACATAGTGTTCATGAACATAATTCTGTCAGTAAATACTCTTATGTTACATATTTAATAGACCTATATTATATATACAAAATTATTTATTGAGTCGATCTATTAGATAACTGTTTAGAGTGTTTCCAATATTTTTACTATTCACAGTGACACAAATAAATATTACATATATTGATAATTATTTTCTTAGGGCAATAGAGTGAAAGAATTTAGAGTAGGTTTACTAGCAATTGCCCTCAAGAAAGGTTTCAATAAAATCCTTTGTTGTGAGTTGATGTCATGAAGGCTCCTATAAATTCTTAAGAGGTAAAAGTTCAAGTCCCTTTATCCTGACAATTAACTAGATTAACTTTTTGTTGGTAGGGTTTGGATTTACCTGAGACCATGCAGGTTCATTATGTTTCTCATAGTTAAAAACCTAAGAAAGCTGTTACATGTGTAAACACATCAGACCAATCTGGTTCAACTTTTATGTAACAAAATTGTGAGTTGTTTTTCAGTTGCCATGGCCTCCCAGGTTGAAGGTCATATAACATTAGCACTGGTGGAACCTAAGTGCTCAGACTAAGGAATGGAGATTTAATTAAGAAGCGGATACCATATGGTAGGATCCAAGGTCTAATCAGATTGAGCTCTGGCGTCACTTCATCGAAGGATCCAGTCTGAGCAGGTCTCCTGGCATCACACCATCACAAGATCCAATCAGAGCACACTTCATTACCATCTGACTATAAAACCTGTCCCAACTCTAAGCTTGGGGAAATAGATTCAAGCTTTTTCTTCTGTCTTCTTGCCGGTTGACTTATAATAAAGCTTTTCTTTTCTCAAAACTGATGCCATAGTAATGCCTTCTATGCACATGGTGCAGTGAGCTCATTGATTGCTCAGTAATACATAAATAGACTAGGAAAAAAATCCTAGGCCTTGCTGTTTGCAAGATGAAGTTTTGGCAGATGAGACTCATTTACCATTGTGTATGCCTCTCTACCCTGTGCTGTACTGCACTGCAGAGAGCAGCTCACCAGGATTCTGCCTAACATATTCTCAGGGAAGGTGTTGTATAAAGCAAAGTTGGTCCCAGTAACAATGTCTTAGTGGCAAAGCTGTTAGTTAAAAAGAATGGCAAATCTTGAATGTTTACTTAGAAGCTCCTTAAACCAAGGGGTCACTGATCGCTGAAACCAAGACGTCATTGATTGCTAATTTTGGAGCAGTGGCTCCTAAACTTTATCATGGATAATTATGACTGAGGTACTGATTACAATGTCTCAAACAAACTCTGTTTATTAAGGCCTGAGATGATACCTACTCTTCTTATCAAACCCTCTAAGGGTTTTTGATGCAGGTGATCTTGCTATAGCCCACATTGTTAAAAATGGGCTCTAAGATTGTATAGTCTACCACCCTCATTTTGATAGTGATGAAAACTGAACCCAGAGCAATGATTAAATGCCATTCCATGAAACTCACACAAGAGTCTGGCTAGAACTTGACTCTCCTCACTTCCAAATTAATAGTATTAAAATGATACCCAAGGACCTCAGTTTTTTAAAAGAGAAAAAAATGCATGATTATTGGCTTAAGAGATTTTTCTCTTAACAACAACAATAAAAGTTGTTTGGCTAGAAATCCTGAAAACTTGAACTAGCATGTCCCAAACATCAGACAGAAAAAGGTGCTCCTGTGGAAAGAATGCATGGGCAACATGGCACTAAGAGGCTGATGATTCCTGCAAGGACAAAGTCTCAGAATACAAATGACAAACTATGTTCGCACAGTTTCCTAGGAACTTAAAGCACTCGGTAGACAATTTTTTCTTATCACGAATAATTCTTACACTGGACTTGTTATTACTGATTCCATCTTACTGCCATAGAGACAATGACTGAAAGAGAAGTGCCCGGTTTGTGGTAATGAAGGCTGTAGTGCATACAGCTTAGGGGCTGAGGAGCTGCCTCAACTTCTGTTAAGATGGCTGGCCCATAATCAAATGAGTCCTCAGGTCTCCACTTGGCATAGGAGAATCATTTTTAAATATGATCTAAGCATACGCCTTGTCCTGTAGATTTCAGATTCCTTTTAAGGCCTATTGTTTTAAGGTCCTATAGCCTAATGTCTATGTACAGATAGATACATGTAGATAAAGATAGTTGTAACCACCTGTATCCCAAGCAGATTAGATATAACTTAGAATAACCACTTTCAGTGCTGGAAGTAATGAAAGTAGAATAGAGAAGGAGAAGCAGGTTTACATACTGATTTGTCCCAATGCCACCTGTTCGGGAAGTAAGGATGATGTACAAAAAACCCCCTGTAAGACCATAAAAAAATGGTCTTGGAACTCTTGGTCCCGGTATATAGGTTATCAGGTTTAATTTGAGCACCAGAGTATGAGCCTTACTTTTCTTTTTTACTTTTTAATATTTGGGGAAAAAGAAAATTGCCATATATTAAAAAAATATATTGTTCACTGTTTTCAGTACCTGAGAATAATTTAATTTTAAAAATAGATTGCACGCTTGAAACTTATAAGTTGCCATTGTGAGTTATAAAGTTCTGAGGTTTGTTTACTTTTTATAACTTATAAGAAGTTGCCACTAGTTTGCATTTATTTATTCTATTGCTATGTATTGCACACCTCAATGGAAACAACGGTCCATGGAAACAATGGGGTCAGTGGAAACAATGGTAATACTACTGCTCAAAGTGAATAACCTGTTTCTATTTATTAATTAAAAGTTTTGTATAATATGTTTACTTTTTCTATTTATGTGCAATTAAAAACCGTTTTAGGCAAATAGTCTCATTAGAAGGACTGGATTAATGACTATGAAAAATGGAAGCCCAAAATTAATTGTTTAGTGAACTAAAAAGGTGAATAACACTTGTCTAAATCTTTTCTGGGCCTAATGAACAGATATTTTCTACTTTGCAATAAATGTCTGCCTTTAGACATATATTTTTGTAATCCTGATCTTTAATAGAGACTCAATTATCTGGCTAAGTGGAGCTTCTCTGCATAATTTTATTGCCATCTTATAAACCATAGAATTTTTATTTTGCCCGAGGAAAGGATAAAAATGAGAATGATTGATGATTCCTATTTATCTTGCACACTGAAAAAATTTAATGCCTATTTGCTTCTGTCGTCAGTATTAATTTTTCATTTTAGTGTCATGGGGGAAAATTGTGCAGCAGTATTTGCATATCATATTATAAAATTCTTTTTTTCTTAAACGTACATAGAATATTTGCTTTCCCAGACAACCTTCTGTTCTTCTTCCTTTCCAGCAAGTTCTTCATAATTTAGATAATAAAGTCAACTTGGCAATGGAGAAACTCAGACATAGAAAGATATTAAATAACATTCTTAAGCTAGCACAAGCAATTTGTGACTCCGATGTGATCAGAATAGGTGGTAG